AACTGCATTTGGACGTAAGGCTGGAGGCGGTGTGACGACGAACTGGGCGACAAAGTAAATGGTGGTCGTAGGCAGTGTCGTCGACGAGGGTCGTGACTGGTCGTTTGGACGTGACGACGACGGGGCTGGGGACGATGGAGTTGGTTCGTTGCTGGAACGAGGAAGAAGATGATGGTGGTTTGGGCAGCCATGGATGGCGTGAGGGGGAAGGGGATGACGGGGAGGGAAACCATTGGAGGACAGCCATGGGAGTTTGGGGTCGTTGGAGCAGGAGGAGAAAGAAGATGTGGGGGTGGTTTTTTAGTTTTTTTTTTTTAGTTTTGTGGGTTAGGTTTTTTTTTAGAAAGATGAAAAAAAAATGAAAAATGGAAGAAGAAGGGGGGGTGTTTGGGTTAGGGGTGGACCGGGTCGGGTCGACCCCGTAGGAGTTTATTTGGTTTGGGCCTGGTTGATTTAAATTAAAAGGTGGCCCAATCCGATTTTCTTCTTATTTCTCATGCTTCTTTTTTCTTCTTTTATTTTTTCTTAAACTAAAACTAAATTCTAAAAATCCTAAATTATCCTATAGAACTTAATTAATTTATAAAAGTGTAAATTAATTCTCAATAACAATTAACACACAATTAAATAGCAATTACGATAAAATCACACAATTTGGACATTAAATGCTAAAAATGCAATGTACATTATTTTTATAATTTTTTGTTCTTGTAAAACAAACTTAATTGCTCCTAATTGTAGAACTAAATTTTAAATACAAATGCGACATATTTTTTTGTATTTTTTATTAATTTAACAAATAAACATGCATGGACAAATACAAATAATTATCCAAAAATGCCACGAAATTCTCAAAATTGCACACAAAAGGAAAATTATTTTATTTTGAATTTTTTGGGAGTAATTCTCATATAGAGAAAAAATCACATGCTTACAATCATCACCACCATCTTCAGGAAGTCCTCCATCATCATTCGCTCCCTCATCGGATTCCGGCGTCGCAGAGTCATATCCATAGTTGACACGAGCCTCTCGTGCCTTCGCCCGAGCTCCTTCATATGCGGCCTTGGTAACATTGCCTGCCTCCCACAAGTTCTTATATATGTCCTCCTGGGCTTCAGCATGAACCCAAAGCTCATGCAAATAACGGGAAACATCGGCGGAGGAAGATTCGACTTGAGCCAACAATTGCACCTTTTCGGCCTCTAGGGCAGCGACCCGATCTCCTAAGGACGACGTTTTCCGGTCGATCTCACCAATAAGCTCCTCGAACCTCGCTTCCCTTAGCGTGCCCGACGCCCTCTCCGACTCCTGCTCTGATCGAAGGACGCAGATAGTGTTTTCCAGTGCCAACAACCAAGCGGTCTCGATGTTCTCCAACCCAGAAACTTTTCTCTCTAACTCGAACAATTTTTCCATATACTCCGCGCTCATCGCCTCGACCTTGATAAGATTCTGATCCATCTTAGACTGCATCGACCTCAGCTTCCCTTGAAGATATTCGCACTCTGCAGCAACCCCTTTGCCCAACTCAAGCTCTTCGTCATTTGCACGAAGTTGCTCCTCGAGTACATTCTTACTGCAAATAGCTTGCATGAACTCCTGATCCCTCTTCTCCAATTCCTCGCCGAGAGATCGATCGCCAGGGTTCGCCTTTAGCCGCTTGTGCATCTCACGTCACTTGTTTCCATAGCGCCGATACTTCTCCAGCATCTTCAAGAAAATCTTGGCCCAAATGTTGGCCCTACTAGCACTCTCTATTTCCACCATGTACGTCTGAAAAACGAAAAGATGGGTTAAAACCATATCACCAAGAAAAATGAGAGAAATATGAAAGAAAAGTGTAACGTACTCTCAAGCCCATAGCGGCTACTTCATGCATCAAATCAATATCGGGAACGTCCCGAAGAGACGCATTCTCAGCAGCAGAGCACAAGATGTCAAATTGCGGCACCAGGTCCTCCATATCCCCCAGGAGATTGATATTCGACGAGATCTCAAGAATACAGGACGGACCTCCCGCATGAACCACCAAACGGGTAAGACCCTCTTCAAATATCCGAACATCATCACGATCAAGGTCAGACTCAGATTCGTAGTCGTCGACCACGATACCCTTTCTCCTCTCTGCGGCCGATGAGGAAGCACGACCCAACACTGAAGATAAAGGCCCGTCCAAAGCAGCAACAACGGTCTCAGGAGTCTGACCCCCCATCGCGGCAGGCTGCCGGTCAATCATAGCAATCGGGACCTCTGTCGATGGGGCAGACACAACGGCTTGATCTATCTCCACAGGTGGAGTGGCATCAAATCTCGCCTCAGACCCCATCAGGGGAAGGTCTTCCTCCAGATTTATCACAGCTGCAGAAGCCGCTTCAGTCTCCACTCGCCGCCTCTTTGACGGCCCCTCCCCTTCTGCGGCATGGGAAGGTCCCTCCGCTGGGTAAATGACATGGGTCAGAGTCCTAGCGTGAGGGGTAGCCTCCGTACGTACAACCGCAGTCGTAGATTCAACTAAGGCAGCCCTCGACGAAGGTCGGGCAGTAGATGCTGAGGCAGGGCGAACAGACGATATAGGCTGACGAAAGGCTAATGGAGGAGCCCTCACTCTCCGCACTCTCCCTGACATCGACGAACATCACATAAGAAACAAGGTAAAAAGGGAAGGAAGAAGAACAATCAACGAAAATTATATTACTCACCGGTAAGGGGCTTGCATCCGTATTTCTCATAGAGGACGACCATATGCGTACCCACGCCGTATGAGGAAGGATGGTATTTACCCATTTGCGGATACCATCAACGAGTGCAGGAGGCCGTTTCGCGGCTGAAAAAACATACACAGTTTTAGTACTTTTCAAAGGAAAGCAGTCGGGTATCACTCCGACCCAAAGTATAGGGACTTACGTGCAAAGTTCCATTTCTCGGGGAACCCCATAGGATCCGCCACAAGATGCTCAGTCCGCACATAAAAGTAGTTCTCGTAGAAGCGACGGTTGGCTCTGTCGTCCATCTTAGCCACCAAGCTCTTCGACCCTTGGTGGCGCATGTGAATCATCGTGCCACGAATGAGTTGAGGGAAGACGATATTGAGCATGTGCACCAAAGTGATCTCACGACCGGCAAGCTCCGCAAATTTGAGCAGCATGAGGAATAATTTATACAGGTATGGCATAAGTTAAGCCGAGAATACCTCGTAAAAGCGGCAAAAATCTACCACCAAGAGAGGGAGAGGAAGCGTGTACCCAACAATAAAGGGGTAGGCGTAGAACGCACAATACCCTGGGCGATCAAAACGGTCTATGTTGTTCCCTATTGCAAGCAGTATTTCGACATAGTGAGGAATTCCCCACCTAGCCCTCAAGTCTGCAATCCCCTCCTCGTTTATGACGGAAAAAGTAGGTTCTGGTTCCTCCCCGACGGGACTGTGGAAATCAGTCCATGCTTTCCCAGGGCGAGGCAAGATCTCAGCCATCGACGGGACCTCCTCATCTTCTGCCACTTCTACTCCTCCAGTGGCCAGAACATCATCTTCCGGCGCCGAAATTGTGGTGGGAAGGTCAGTGCGAGAAGAATCACCAGCCATTTGTATCAGTTTGATGAAGGAAAGGGGCAAAGAAAAGAAAAGATGAAAGTTCTTGGCTAACCGAAGAAAATCAAAATCCGAAGTATCAAGAGAAAGGAAAATTCGCAAAGTTCTTTCAAGTAAAGGTAAGGAAGTGTGTCGCTCGAATGGTGCATTCCTTCTATTTATAAGAGACATAATTTCCCCAAGCACGAAACCCAAGAGTCGCCAATCGAAGTTGATGGGGCACGAAACGGTTCAATTCCCAGGGAACGTATGTCATAATGACGACAACCACGAATAACATTTCAAGATTAAACGATGTTTCGATTCCAAAACGGCCGCAACGGTTTAGAGATATCGGAAGAGCGCCGATACGTTACTTGATTTTGAAAATCATACCCAAGGGTTAGACAGTCAGATTTCTCTTAGATAAGCGATCATCATGATCCGTCTACCAGGCCCGACTAGAGATGACCCCAGCAGACGAGGAACTAACTGTATTGGTCAAAATCTGACCGCTGTGGCCAACCCAACCAGGACCCCGTACAACAGCGGGTAAGGAAAGACGCCATGACTTGCTCCGAATCCCGTGCTCGCAATGTCTGTTAAGTCGAAGGACAATATTCGGGAAACGATGAAAACGGACGTGGTACGAAGGGGCTTTGGCCCAAATACATAGCAAAGACTCCATGGTTGTATAAAGGGATGGGACCTTCCTAGAAAAGGGGGCTTTTTCTCTTCCTCTCCTATGTAATCTCCTTAGTAAAAAAAAAAAGTAAAACAATCTTCCATGGAAAATGTACAACAGTCATATTCACCGATTGGTGAAAGAAGAAATGAAAGGTTTCGACAATTTATTGCTCCTATTTCATTTTACGTATCATCACACGATTTGTTTACAGATCTGGAGTTTTATTATGTTTGACTAAGAGACCGTTTTGGATGGGCTTGTTTTAAGTTACTTTTAAGCCGAAATAGCTTTTAAGCCATAAATTAGAAATTCTAACTTTTTGCTTTTGACTTGTTTTTGTCATTTTAGCTTAAAAATAAGTGCTTAAAAGCACTTTTTTACTTTATCCAAACATTACAAAATGACTTAAAAGTTATTTTGGCTTAAAAACACTTAAAACAAGCCAATCCAAACGAGCTCTAAGATTTACCCCTTCAACTTCTTTAATTGATTTAATCAAAAAAGTTTCAATATATCTTTTGGTCAAACAATAGCGACATCCATAAAAGAAATAAAAAACAAAAAATTCAAATTAATAATTCGCAGTAAGTTGAAATAAAAACACGAGTCTCAGTTATCGCTCCTTTACTAGTGCAAGGAGAAATGACACAGAGCCCTTTCGTTTTCTGATTCCTTTTTCGCGCTTGGCATGCACATAGATTCCAGGACCACTATCTTACACAAGGCCAAATACCTTCTCAGTGTCCACAAAAGCCATTCATAGGGTAATTAAGTTAAACTTATCTGTTACTTACACGCTTTGAAGACAGAAAAGCACTATTATTAAACAGTGTTCTATAAGTGGATATGGAATTATCTACAATTTAACGATGAAATAGCACAAGCCACACACTCAAATAATCTGTTTTTCAGTACATTATATAACAAAATATATGTATTATTTGGACTAGGCTATATCTGTAGGGTAGGAGTGAGCAAAACTTTGAACCCTTTTCCTTATCTCATCTGGATTTGCACCAACTAGCTTGTCTACTGGCACTCCATCTTTCAGCAGAAGAAATGTTGGCATGGCTTTCACCTCATATTTGCTAGCCACCTCCTGGCAAACAAAAACAAAAATAATGTGAATCACCAACCTATCATCCCGGTAAAACAAGATTCAAACATTTTAATCTGCGTATATTAGGTGGAACCTGAAACTCAGAGTCCTTGCTTAAAACTTAAAAGGTTCTCTATCGTAGCTAAATACAATATAGCTGCCATATTTACCAGTATAAGCAGTTAGGTTGTGATATACAGCCTTTTTAACACCAGAAACTAGCAAGACTGAAAAGGAATAAGACATACAACAAATAACAAAATCTTGCATTTGAATGTGGACAATAGTTTCTTCAGACAACATGGAGAAATTCATCTGTCAACGAAGGTTTGTGCCATTGGATTTTCAACAGATCAAATAGACAACAGAGGAGTACTGTTTCAGAAACAGAGATTAGAAACTAGGTAGCTAAAGAAAATCTTAACGGGTTCGCTGGTAGCTGATCAACGATCACTTCAATGTCAAAATGATAAATGCATTTGGTTTCCTAGAATACAGTTTCATACTAGTTAGAACTTGAATTATTATTTTTTTCGTTACGAAAATTAATGCAAATACCTAGCTATTATCAATCAGATTCTCCATCCACAACTAATAGAGAAAAGATCAGGAATCGCTGGAGAAGAATCCGGTTAGATAATCATCAAACTCACTCTACAAACGAGAATCTTGTAGTATTAATCTAACATATCTATGGTAATGCTAGACAGTATCTGAAGTGATTGCATTATATTTTATGATTATAAAACGTGAAGCCTTTCCCTAGACAAAATATTTGCATATTCCGTGTCTGATTGCAATGCACATAAGAAGATTTGCGACCAGGAGAGGAAGAATCTCTCAACTTGGCCACTTGCAAATAATTGAAAAGACTATTCTACTCTTAAATATCTTAAAGATCAATGAGCTTATATCTTGTTAAATTGAAAGACGAAAACCAAGTGGTTATTCTCTGATTCAATATGGGAAATTCCAACATTGTGTGTTAGACATTACTTCTTTGGAAATCATTTCATGGTTTTAATTTCTTCAGATTTCAAGTATTTTTCGAGAGAAAGGTAAGGGAGGATTTCTAGAAGTACTATAGTGAGAGATGTAAGTCTTCCTGAATGCTCAATATTTCAGGAAATGAAGAACAGCAAAACAATTTTTTTTACATTGGGTGAAGACATGACAAAAAATACCATTATGGTTGACTCAGTTGACATTTGACAATCATGTGAAGTTGCGAACAATATCAAATGACTTTGTAGAAGCCAATTAGCCCCAAGTGTCAAGTTTAATTGGCCCCAAGTGTCAAGTTGGGACAGCTAGAGAATAAATGCCTTTAATAGAAAAAGTGAAACTCGGAATATTACACCAGAAAATAGAAAGGGTAGAAAAACTTTTCAGCAAAACAATAGAGATGTTGATCTCTCTGACCCACTCATGTAAGCAAAACAATAGTAAGTTGTAGCATACAAGCTAAGCAGACAATCCAAAAGCTCAAACTTAAGCCTGTTTCACTAGGGAGTTGGAGGATTTTTAGTGAAACAAATTCCATCTGAAGCATCTTATTCTCCAAACAATTCCTTTTCATGCAAATCTCTTTTTCAAGTGGATGATACTAACTAGGTAGAAAAAGACACAGCCTTTTTACAACAGGAGTTGCCTCCTCGTCAAATTGAAAGGCTCATCATAGTAGACAGGCAAAAGGAATCACCACTTTATGAAACTAATTGTGTTATTCACTTTGTCTACGAACATATTCTTGTTGCACAATGTAATATTGGCATATTGCATGCGTATGAGATTATTCTGACATCATTGTATGACTGATTCGTCATAACTCATAACCAAGACTCTATAAGACATTGGAACAGATGAAGACAAGTAAGGCCACACAACTAAGCAACTCTCTGAGACAGGCATGATATGCGTGCATCAGTAGCTCATGAAACTAAAGAGATTTAAAATTGTTTTCTCATGAATTACACGTTTGAGTGAAAGAGAAATAAAAGAGATGATCTCAATTAAGGACATTCTAAGAGTCATCAGTTTGAGGACCAATTTTTTTTCTTGGTGTAATGGATTTATAAAAGACCCTCATGATGCCAAATGAAATCACTACCTATGACATCAAACTATGTTGTAAAAGCAAGACCAATTAAACCCAAGGTTGATAGAAACCAGAACAGTTCGTGACAACTAAATGTTTGATCAGAGGATATATCTAGTCTTATATATCACATCCTTTTCCAAATCTCTGTCTCAAAGTTCCTTCCTGATGAAGATGTGAGCTTTTAGACGGATAGTATCGACAAACTTGTAGACAAGGATGAATTGGTACAGCCCGATAATTGGGTTCTCGCTATCTTTTATACTTATGCTTATGAGATCTCAACATGCTGCATTTAATTAGAGAGATATACTACTGGAAAGCTAAAAAGGACTAGTATAAGACATCAATTCAGCTATGTCACATGCATTAAAGTCCTGCATTTCCTTTTACCACTTTAACTAAAGTCAGGAAGACACACAATATAATAGACACTACCATTAAAAATCTTATACCATGGAAGGGGATGCCACAACCACGGGCAGGGGCGGATGAGCCTTTCCCCTACGGATTCAACTGAACCATAACTTTTGACACATAGTATAAATCTATATGTAAAAACCTACTAAAATCTCAACAAGTATTAGATTTGAACTCATAATTTTAACAGTATAATGAGTTCAATACTAAAAATATTAAAAGCTGAACCTATTAAATTTAATCATGGATCCGCCTCTGGCCACGGGCAACTAACCTCCCTTGACCAGACCATTCTTTGGCACTTAACAGTAGGTTCAGCAAAGGAAATTTCTACATCTATTAAGCTTTAAAGTAGTGTCTTTTACACCAAAGGGCTAAAGAAATTACCTTGACCTCATCCACATCAATTGTGAGAAAAGAAATAGTATTTTGGTACATAGAAGCCAACTCCTCCATAAAGGGGTTCATTGCCACAGAGGGAATACACCAAGCAGCAGTAAAGTGTGCCACAATCTACAAACAAACAAACAAAAAAAAGGGAAAAATGAATTGACACATATTACAAATAAAAAACTCCAAAAAAGAGTTTCCAACTTGAAGAAAAGAATAAGCTTCAATCACGAATACAAGGGGGAATATTCTTGGAAAAGCTTAAACTCACAGGTAAAAAAAAATCAAGATTTAAATAGCCATGCAGGTTTTACTTACAGGGCATCCTTGAACTGTGGCTTGATTAACATGGAAATCCCATGATTCCTTAGAGTCTACCTTCATAACTCTTGATTTGGACCCCTGTTCTTGGTTTTCCATTCTTACTGTGAACTCACTATTGACAAGGCCAAATTTGTGTTTATCCTAAACAGTAGAGATGAGAAAGAATGTCTAGTTTCAATAGAATTAAGCATTGGACCCCACATTTTTTAATTTATTTTCTGCTAAGCATGGAAATTTTGGACTTTTTCGAAGTTTCTTCCTTATCTGGTTTTAATAATGTCAATTGGGACTAGATATTAAGCATGAAAGTTTGGAACTTTATCATTGTTGTGTTTCCTTGTATGATTTTTGTAATGACAATTGGGTTAGGCACACAACTGCACAATTATTCTTTAAGGAATTGCAGTAACATTCTAGAGCATTAGGGGCGTAGATGGACAGGTTGGGCCGATTAAAATAGGTTGAGTTATTTTTTGGATTGGTGGAATAATCTGTCTAAAAGTTACTTTGAGTTAAGATAAACTAAAATTTGAGTTATAGTTCAACCCGTACAACTTTTATCAATCTTTAGTTAATATATGTTGTTTTCTTATGAACTTTATAATTACTAAATGAGATTTTTTTTCTTTTGTTATGATCATATATAATATATCTACCAAAAAAATTAATTTATTTTTAAAATATTTTGACAAAATTACTTATGCATCAATTTAAGCTAAAAATTAACTCAACTTAAATTGTTGAGTCAAGATAAATTGAGTTTAATAAATGGGCGAGTCAATAACCAATCCAACCTTGAGCGGGTTGAAGAGGTTATTTGGACTTAGGCCAAATTTGACAGCCCTATTTAAGAGCAGCTATGAAGAGTATCCTGACAAGGCTGATTTGCAACTTTGTCAAACTTTTATGGGTCCACTTGGGGGAGGGGGAGGGGGAGGGGGACAAGGAAGAGTCCGAAACCTTTTTGATGTTTTTTTGGACACAAAGTACATTTGTAATGTTAAAAAAAAGTTACATAACTAGGTAAAATACAGTACTATACTGCGTTTTACTTTAACGGAAAGTTAGCTGTTAAAGTAAAACATAGTATAGTACTGCGTTTTACTTAAAAATTATTTTTTTAAACTAATTCGCAGTACTATACTGCGTTTTACTTAAAATCTGGGCCCAGTTATATTTTATTAAAGCAATTCGCAGTATTATACTGTGTCTAAAACGTAGTATAATACTGAGAATTGCTTTAATAAAATAAAGCCCCTTTTTCTTCCTTGGACCATAGAACCGACGAACCCCATTAAAAAATTTCGGATTCTGCTGGTCCCCCCTGGTCAAACTTTAAAAAAAAAATTGGGCCCCACCCGTCACCTAAAGAGCAAGGAGTGTAGGTCCCACACACAAGATAAGCTTTGGATTCCTTCTTTCGGGTGCAAAAATTTGATTTCAATCAAATTCAAAAAAACTTAAATCGAGGTATTTCGATTTTGTTTGTGTCGAAACTCGTATAATACGTGCATATTTGTATTGTTTAATGTGTTTCCATGTTAATTTGTGTTATGTTTATNATTTTGTTTATGTCGAAACTCGTATAGTACATGCATATTTGTATTGTTTAATGTGTTTCCATGTTAATTTGTGTTATGTTTGTGTTTAAATTTGTATCTTATTTATACCCGGATTGATTTATTAGCTTTGGTACAAAAAATTGTTAAAATTTGATGAATTATTTGTATTGTTAAAAAATTAATATTATTTATTTTGTTTGTTGTTCATATTTGTATTTTTTGTTAGTTGTTTTTATATGTAATAGTGACCTTTTAGCGTAGTAAAATAAATAGCCTTTTAGCGTAGTAAAATATAGAGCCTTTTAGTGTAGTAAAATATAGAGCCTTTTAGCGTAGTAAAATATAGAACCTTTTAGCGTAGAGTCTATGTAGTTTAAGTATGTAGTAACTGCAAACTCTATCCAATTATACTTTACAAAATTAATTATTTAATTTATAACAATAAACTTACAAAAGTAGCAAATTAATATATGTTGTAAAATTAACTCCAATATCGAGCATGGAACCCATACATAATTATTCAGCCCAATTTTAAACATAATTAATTATTTAATTTATTAAGCTAACAAAATTCTAAAAATGTTGAAATTGACACGCATAATAATTAAGGATAGCTTGGTGCTACCGGGCCTCAAATATCGAGCCTGGAACTCATACATAATTATTCAGTCTAATTCAATAATTTTTAATTTAATTCCTTAAACTAACAAAATTCTAAAAATGTTGAAATTGACACACATAATAATTAAAGATAATTTGGTGCTACCGGGCCACAAATATCGAGTCTGGAACTCATACATAATTATTCAGTCCAATTTAATAATTTTTAATTTAATTCTTTAAACTAACAAAATTCTAAAAATGTTGAAATTGACACGCATAATAATTAAAGATAACTTGGTGCTACCAGGCCTCAAATATCGAGCCTGGAACCCATACATAATTATTCAGTCCAATTCAATAATTTTTAATTTAATTCCTTAAACTAACAAAATTCTAAACATGTTGAAATTGACACGCATAATAATTAAAGATAACTTGGTGCTACCGGGCCTCAAATATTGAGCATGGAACCCATACATAATTATTCAGTCCAATTCAATAATTTTTAATTTAATTCCTTAAACTAACAAAATTCTAAAAATGTTGAACTTGACAAACATAATAATTAAAGATAACTCGGTGCTACCGGGCCTCAAAAATCAAGCCTGGAACCCATACATAATTATTCAGTCCAATTTTAAACATAATTAATTATTTAATTCCTTAAACTAACACACACAATTAATTTTGTTTAAATTATAGTAGACGATATGAACTTTCCTCCGTCTGCGCATCCTGGACCTGCCGAGGATTAGCTACTACTGTTGCAGGGCGACCATAGGTCCTCCTTTGTATAGGAGGGACAGTTATCGATGCAGGCTCTCCGCCCCAGGAGACTTGACGATTTGTGGGAGTTCATCGTGGAGCATCCTTTCCATGCCCGCGTAGTCGCGCGCCTATAGGCTACGGGCTTCTATACGATTTTTGAGCTTGGACGGATAAAACTTGATTGGTCTCTCATCACGGCCTTGGTATTGTAGTGGCGACCGGAGACGCACACTTTTCACTTGCCCACTGGAGAGGACACCATCACGCTGGAGGATGTTCAGGTTTTGTACGGGCTGCGCGTAGATGGATGGGCCGTGGCACTGCCCTAGTACATTAGATCCATAATGCGTGCACAGTTTTTGGATATGATGGGGCATTTTACTGGTTATAGACCTCAGGATGATGTTGGGGGCAGTCGCATTGCTTTGTCAGCCATTAGAGATCATATGGCTGTTTTGCACCCAGACATTACCGGTGAGATGGAGGATCTCCATATTCAGAGGTACACGCGGTTGGCGCTGCTCCTGTTTTTCGGGTGTGTCTTGTTCCCGAACACTTCGGGGAGTCTCGTGAGTATGCGCTTTCTCCATCATCTTCAGCAGCTGGATGATTTACCCCAGTAC